ATACTCATGTCAGACCCAACAAAGTATATATATTCTTGATCAGCGTAAAATTCTAAGACGATTTAGCCATGTCCGTCTGTCTGTCTGTGTGTCTGTCTTTCTGTTCGCCTGTCTGTCTGTTGTAATCACGCTATCTTTCGAACAAATTAAGATAGAAGGCTAAAATTTTGCACATATGTATATTTTTCCAGTAGGCAGGTTAAGTTCGTAAATGGGCCATGTAGGTCCAAGTTATCATATAGCCCCCATATAACAGTACCTCCCGATATTCGGTATTTTGATGATTTTAACGACATTATTCACCGGAATTGTTTCAAATTTGGCATTTGAAGTTCGTAATAGATACTACAGCCTAAGACAGAAAATTATCTGTGCAGGTCCACGTCTTCATATAGCCCCCATATACCGTAACCCCCCCCCCAATATTCGGTATATTGATGAGTTTTGCGACATTATTTAACGGAATCGTTCCAAATTTGGTATTTGAAGTTCGTAATAGATACTTCATATTCGGTATTTTGATGATTTTAGCTACATTATAAACAGATTTTTCTTCAAGTTTCGCATTTAAATATTGTAATAACTTATGTCAAAACTTTCCTATGCAGGTCCACGTCGTCGTTTAAGCATTCGGTATTTTTAAGATTTAAACAGAATTTTTAAGGATTTTTTTTTTTTTTGGAAATTGCCAAATTTGTACCAAATGGTGGAGGGTATTAAAAGTTCGGCCCGGTCGAACTTACTGCTTTTTTACTTGTTTTGAATTTAATTTCATACATTTTTGCCTCCCGTACTGAGGTTCACGTAAACAACACTAATTAATAAAATTATATAAAACATATGAAAATAATAAATAATTTACTTTTCACTTGAAGATAATACAATGCTGACATTAAATATATATAAAATTCCACATCTTAAAAATATAAAACTTAAATTAAATAAATATGTAAATTAATGGCAATGAACCATAAATATTAAAAATCAACATTTATAGAGTGGAAAGATATATATTTCTTATTTAAAGTATTTTTAAAAACATAATATGATTTACATTTAATATATTTCCCAAGTGTTGGTAGTAAATGGCGTGCTCGTGAGAGCATCCATTCTATAACACGATGCAGCCGACCTTGCATATGCGAACAGACCCACCTTTTAAAGGTATGGGAACTCTTTCTTATGTGACTCCCACCATTGTAATGCTTTAAAATGTTTATGATACTGTTTGTGTCTTATACCTCGATATTTCCTCTCCTGGTACGGATCGTGATGAGCTCTGAAGGAAAGCTATGAATATTTCGCGTTTATCGTAAATCAATGTTGCGTTTTGAAGCATATTAGTAGGTATGCCAAAAATATTTGGAAAATGTACAGTCTAAATATTGTGTAATAGTTTATCCTTTATCTTCAAAACGATTTCTGAATCACCTTTTTACATTCACATGGTCTTCAATTTATGAATTTGAGGAATGACGGAGTGCAATGTGGGATAATCATAAACATTTCTGACGATTCTTCGAAGTGTTTTAGGACGATAATAACGCCATTAATCGTTCTCAAGTTAATAAGGTAAATTCTTAAAGTTTCGCCCTTTTCCTCAAGTATCAGACCAATTTTGTTTAATGTATTCCAAAAGAAAATATACGGTATTCCCTTGTGTGGGTGTAAAGCGTGGTTTTCGTTCTAGAATAGTTAAGGCCCGCTTTCTTCAAATATTTGACAAGTTTAGAGCAAACTTCTAAAATTGACTTGACCTCTTCCACATCCGCAGCAGCTTTCTGACACCACATTATTCAAAAGATGATTTATACAAAACAATATTCTGGTTATTTTTCAATGCGCTCATCTTATTTGATGGTGAACTCTTATTTGATTTACACATTTAAAATGAAAACCATGCATACAAAAATCCAAACATTTAATAACCCAACATACCAAAATGGCTTGAGAATAATATTACAATAAGCTTATAAACATAAGCCTTAAGCTTGAAAAAATCTTGCGAAAACATTGAAAAATGTCTGTGTAACAAGTATAGAATAATCGAAATGGAACCTTTATACTTGAAATTGTAGAATAAGATTACGAAAATAATATTATATTTAGCTTATTTTTGTAATAGAATAAAATGTTAATTTTTAATCATTTTACACATTTTTTTTCTTGATGCCTCCAATCTGAAATAGGATTGAAATGATACATATCACAGATTCCCGAATTTATTATTCACCCATACCTGAAGAATCCGGTCCAGAAATGGGTCCTAAATTCGCGTGATTTTGCTTTTTACAAAAGAAACCAATTTGTGCTGACAATTTTCACAAAAAAAAAAATCAAAACAAATTTGTCAACAAAGGACAGATTTGAGAAAAGTTTGTGGAACATAAGTGTTTCTCATGCATTGTTGAAAAATTATATTTTTATAATATTATTCTCAAGCTGAATTGTATTTTTGGTATGTTGGGAATAACTTAATAAACCCGTATTTTTCACGCTGTTTATTGCTTTCATTGTCAGTGTTGTATGTAGAAGATATAGTTCTTTTATATAGTGGACAGTGGCACCTTTATATGTTGTCCTTAGGAAATTGTCCTTCCACAAATCGCAAGTTATGGCAAATCCATTATTTTTTATATACACCAACTCCTCCTTTAAAAAATCACGTTGACTTTCAATATATTCGGACACCGTAGTTGAATGTGGAAGCAGCGTATTTTTGCCAATATATTGGCTGAACAAATGACCAGCTTTTAGTATGAATTCAGCTTAATTATATAATCCTTTATCATTTATAATATTAAATATATAATACCAATAATTGTAAGCATTTCTTCCTTAGCCCTTTATCAGTCTCAATTTGTTTGATATGCAATTTCTGTTGCATTTGTATATTTTTTGCATCTGCTGCAAAGCACTGCATTTTTCCATCCTTTATATCCAGAAATATATCAATAACTTAACTTGTTTATAATCTTTCAATTTTCGAATATTCGCCACTTTTTTTTTTGTATTGCACAAAAATGTTCTATTTTGAAACCACAAAAACTTTTAATTGTAGAATACACAATCACCCTTATCGCGTAACAAATTTTCCCAAAAAAAAAATCACCATTCCCAAAAATGCAATCATGTACTTTTTTTTCACAAAAGTAGCAACTTCGAAAAAATATTCCGTTATCGCGTACACATGTTTTGTGAATTTTCAATCACAAAATTCTTTACAATTTTCCCTTGAATTTTAAACGGTGAACAGTGAGAATACGCAAATGTAAGACTAGAATTTACCAATAATAAGTGAAAAAAGGAATTATAATTGCTGTTTTTAGGTCCGCGGTAAATAAAACTCAATTGTCTATCTTAATAGACAAGATGAGGGAGAACCCAAACATTGCTGGTGGATACACCAAAGATTCTAAAGACGCTGTTAGTGATTTAAATACTGCAGGACCACCAATAAAAACGCTAGCAGAATGGAAAAAGGAAAGTATATAGTACAAATTCATATTTATTTTATTTTAAAATGTCCTCATATATGAATGCAGGTGTGGGTAGACCAAAAATGACATGTTCGTAAGAAGGCTGCTGAAAATTATCCCTACAGAGAAGGCACAGGTGGTGGACCTCCCAGAAAATTATCTTCAACAGAAGCGACGATCTACGAAATTGTGAAGATGAAACAGTCCGTTGAGGGGGTTGAAGGTTCCAAAACATTTGGTGCTGCATTGACAAATTCAGAAAATGGAAATGGGACTGTCAATATGGTCAATAATGATATTGAAATTGATGATATTCATGATATTGATTGATGATATTCAAATGCACCAAAATCTTTGAAAACACCGAAGAAAGCTGATCTGAATCTACATCAAAACTAATAGAGGCTGAAGTTAAAAATCAAATAAAACTAAATGAGAAAATATCAGAACTGGTGGATATCATAAAGGAGGACAAACAAGAAACGAAATCAATGATGAAAAGTATGGTTCGATCATTGGAAAAAATTAGTGACGTTAAAGAAAAGAAACTAAAAGAAATAGAAAGGCACCACGCTGAAATGAAAAAAATATAGAAGATTAGAAGTAGAGAACAAATTGGAAAAAAAAATAAAATTATGGAAATTGAAGAAATAAAATGTTCTTTAATGAGACAAGTTTATTAATTAATATCGAACTTATATTTTATGTATGCAAAATTTTAAGACATTTAAGTTATTTTTTGTTGATAAACAGTGAAGTGCTTTTAAGTTTTTTTTTTTTTAACAAATATATGTAAATAAATTTCGTTTAACCTTTTATAAACTATTGGCTATTCTATTTCTGATGCGACTGCCTGCAGAAGCATAGGTGTCTTCTTCTGAGTCGGTGTACACCACAGGGCTGCAACGAGTATGTAAAAATTCAAGCATACTCGGTTTCTTACATGATTTTTGTTGATGCAGTCGTTTAGTTTGATCTGAATGAAATGACCGTTTTCGCTTCTGATCGAATCGAACGCTCAGTTTGAATCACTTCACTCACAATCAAACATGAGCGTTCAAGACGGTTTGATGTGTTCAGCAACATGAGTTGATCGAACACATGAATGTAAATGAGCAATCACAACCGTGATTGTCTTCTTTGAATCGAGTTCGCTCAGCGTCATTGTTTATTCAACCATTTAATCAAGTTGGGACAGTTTATTTTTAATTTTTAAAAATTTGAAATGGAAGAATATTGTGATAGTGCGACCGAAATCGTTGCAAGTAGAAACTACACAGGTGTAGGTAAACGAAAAGGTCGAAGTTTGTGAAAAATCTTGACCAATATTGTAAAATAAAAAAATATTTAAACATTTTTAGTTTTCTAAATGCCAATGATGTGTTTCTTTATTAAAAAATTTAATTTTTTTTTCAAATAAGTTACTGAAGTCTAGCATACCAAAAACCCAATAAAATGAAAAATTGTATGCTTATTTAATATAATTTGTACCAATTTCTTTAATGGGGACTGAGCTGTTTGATTGCGATCACAAAACTTCGATCAATACATGTTTGATCACAACTTTTTCGTTTGGCTTGAGTAACTCGAATGAACATGTTGCATCTGACCGACTGATTGAGTTTGATTGTATTTCCACTGTGTGTGATCAAGCATACTCAATCATACTCATTGCAGCCCTCTGGTGTACACACTTGTATCATTATTGTAATCTTGAAAAACGTTACTAGGTACTTCATTACATCTATAAGTAATGCAGATATTGTGGAGTGCAGTGCAAACATTTGTTATTTGAATAGCCTTTTTGGGATTGTAATGTAATTCCCTTGCACCCAGTAGACATCTCCACCTATTTTTTAGAACACCATTCGTTTTCTCTATTATGTTCCGGCACATCGTATGTGTGTCATTGAATTTCATCTCCACAGTTCCAACATCGGCATTTCTAAAAGGCGTAATAAGCCAGGGTTCCAGAGGATAGCCTGCATCACCTAAAAATATTTGTAGCTTTAAATATTTATTCTAAAGTTACAATCTTATATGTATGTATATGTATGTCCTTACCTAACAACCACATGTTTGTTCCTTCTTCCAAATGATCTCTCCATTTCTTTTCTAATTGGGCTCATACTCCAGACAAAAGAGTCATTACATCCTCCTGGATGTGTAGTGTCCATGAAGCGTATGCGCATTTCATGGTCACATATCTATAAAAACATTTTTTTAAGTTTTTTATAAATTCATAGATAATCAATTTGGGATTCAATTACAAGTGTCACGTTTAAGCTGAATCGTCCCTTTCGGTTATAATACAAATGCTTCCCCTCCTTCGGTGAAATTATAACAATATGAGTGCCGTCTGTACAACCCAAAACACCTGGTATTCCAAACTTGCTGTAAAACGCTTGCGCGTAGATTTTACTCTCATCCCGTGTTGGATACGTTATCCATTGCTGACAAATTGAATTTTCTACTGCATTCAGGAACTCCGATAGCACTTCACTAAAGGTTGATTGTGCCATTGTCACCTGATAGTCTCTACCAATACCTTTTTGATATGACCCCTCTGCAAAAAATCGTAAACAAGCGTTAATTTTACAATTGGAGGTATGGCTACTTTCCTTTGCGTTTTTGGCAATGCTGAAGTGAGTAATTCCAGATTTGTTTAGTCTATAATATTGACAAAACCTGCATGTGCATAAGGCTTTATAAAACTGAAAACAACTTTATTATACTATTACTTACTCAGTATTTGAAAGCTCCAATGGATTTGAAGCATCGCGTATATTACGTCTCAACATTTTCTCACTTTTATGCTTTTCCATTTCTTCCTCATTATTGAGTAAATAAATAAGCGATCCAATTCTATACATTTTTGCAAAAATTATTGTATTGTAATTTCCAACAGCTGTTATGTTCGAATAAAAACAGCTGATTGCTCGAAACATGCGAGCTCACAAGAATTACGCGATTAAGAAATTTTGGGAACGGGGATTCACAATTGAATAGGACCTGTAAGAATCCATGGAAAATCGTCAATAGTATTGTTATATGATACAAAATTTACTATATACACCAATTAATTGGGATTTTTTAGTATACTTCCATTTTTCTGTGTATATTATTTTATTAATTGAGAGTCATATCTCTGCCAACATACTTCAATTTTAAAAGAACACTTTATATAGGTAGAATATAGACAAACAATATATACTTACTATTTTATGACCATAAGTTTATGAAAGACACCAATAAATTGGGATTTTCCAATATATTTTCCATTTTTATACCCTCCACCATACTATGGAGGGTATATTAGCTTTGTCATTCCGTTTGTAACTCCTCGAAATACTCATGTCAGACCCAACAAAGTGTATATATTCTTGATCAGCGTAAAATTCTAAGTCGATTTAGCGATGTCCGTCTGTCTGTCTGTCTGTCCGTCTGTCTGTCTGTTGTAATCACGCTATCTTTCGAATAAATTGAGGTAGATGGCTAAAATTTTGCACACATGTTTATTTTTCCAGTAGGCAGGTTAAGTTCGTAAATGGGCCATGTAGGTCCACGTTTTCATATAGCTCCCATATAACGGTACCTCCGGATTTTCGGTATTTTGATGATTTTAGCGACGTTATTCACCGGAATGGATTCAAATTTGGTATTTTAAGTTCCAAATGGATACTACACCCTAAGATAGAAAATTATCTGTGCAAGTCTATGTCTTCGTATAGCCCCCATATAACGGTACCTCCCGATATTCGGTATTTTGATGATTTTAGCGACATTATTAACGGGAATTGTTTCAAATCTGGTATTTGAAGTTCCAAATGGATACTACACCCTAAGACAGAAAATTGTCTTTGCAGGTCCACGTCTTCGTATAGCCCCAATATAACGGTACCTCCCTATATTCGGTATTTTGATGATTTTAGCGACGTTATTCACCGGAATTGTTTCAAATACAAAATGGATACTACACCCTAAGATAGAAAATTGTCTGTGCAAGTCTATGTCTTCGTATAGCCCCCATATAACGGTACCTCCCGATATTCGGTATTTCGATGATTTTAGCGACATTATTCACGGGAATTGTTTCAAATCTGGTATTTGAAGTTCCAAATGGATACTACACCCTAAGACAGAAAATTGTCTTTGCAGGTCCACGTCCTCGTATAGCCCCAATATAACAGTACCTCCCTATATTCGGTATTTTGATGATTTTAGCGACATTATTAACCGGAATTGTTTAAAATTTGATATTTGAAGTTCGTTATGGGAACTACAGTCTGTGACAGAAAATTGTCGGTGCGGGTCCAGTTTCGAATTTGAATATGGTAATGGCTTATGACAAACAATGCATATGTATGTCCACGTCGTATAGACCCCAACATAACGGCTATATTCGGTATTTTTAAAATTTTAACAGAATTTTTTAAGGATTTTATTTTTTGAAAATTTCCAAATTCGTTGTAAATGGTGGAGGGTATTAACTGCTTAACCCAACTTACTGCTTTTTAACTTGTTTCTATTAATTTGTTCATGTCTATGCCTGTTTTGTTATCGAATGAGAGCCATATCTCTGCCCGTCAACGATGGCAGCGAACCATGTCGCCATAATTGTGTGTCATTTGTGTACGTGTGATTAAATTGAGAGTATGTGTATTACTACGACAGTCAGGTTGTGTTTTGGTGTGTGCTGTAATTGTAAAGTAATAAGCGCGTCATCATAAATACAAAATTGAGTACGAAACCAATAATTAACAAGAAAAAAATTAAGTTCGGTCTGACCGTACTTTTAGTACCCTCCACCATTCGGTGAAAAAAAAACTAAAAAAAAAAACTATAAATACCAGTATAGACAAAAACCCATAAAGTGTGTGAGGCCGTTATAAGGTGGTTATACCAAAACGGGAACCTCTATAGACAATTTTATACTTCAAACATGAACCAGAATATTCAATATTCTCGCAGCTAGAACCCATTATGAACCACAAATACCAATTTTGTGGCAAAAGTAATCAAAATACCGAATATCGGAAGGTACCATTATGTGAGGGCTACCAAAAACGTGGACCTATACATACTACGTTTCGCCACAGCAACTACAAAATAAATTGTTCAAATAATGTAGGCAGTATCGTGATTTCCACAAACAGAATGACATCGTTAAATCGACTTAGGTGTGCTTATGCTGATCATGAATATATATATATATATATATATATATATATATATATATATATATATATATATATATATATATATATATATTCGATACTGCCTACATTATTTGAACAATTCATTTTGTAGGTGCTGTGGCGAAACATAGTATGTATAGGTCCACGTTTTTGGTAGCCCTAATATCAGTTCTTTGTATCAATTTTTGAGGTTACAAATTTTATTTTCTGTTCGAAAAGAGCCCGTTCGACTTCAACTTTTTTGTCGACAATATTTATTTATCGTCGTGTTTTGCTTTAGAATATATATAAAGCCTTTCGATAGAGTTGTATTTGATTTGTCCGTAAATAAACCAACCGTTAACTAAATTGTGCGATATCATACTTCCAAGCACGTTTTTTCTTGTGCCGTTTAGTACAATAGATGTATCAACATGTCTACTTGCGCTGATACCACAAATCAGTAGGATTCTTATATAAAAATATTGAAAATTTGACATCAATTTTTGTTGGCTTTTAAAGTAGCTATATTCATCGAGAAAACATGAATATTCAACCTTGAGAGAAAATTACATTATCTGTATAAACATAAAAAAGTTATGTTAATTACTATGCTTATAACTCAAGAACGGCTGGACTGATTTTGATATTTTTTTGACAACGCGAAAAAACACCAATAAAAATATAATATATAAATTTTAAAGATTAGAAATATCATTACAGACAAAACTATAAATATATTTACAAAATGTTTCCCAAGGATATATAATACTAAGCAATTGTAACATTATTTTTCTTGTTATTATGTTAAGATTTTCAGAAAGATCGAAGAGATGATATAATTTATTAAATTCGACTAAAAACCGAAGAAGTGTATTCGCATAGACAGTCTGAAAGGGACATTTATTAAAATTCTATTCAAATAAAATCAGATGTTATTTTACCTTGAATGACATTTAAGAGGAATGTAAGTTGAGCGGCTACTTTAAATGTAGGTAATTTAGAACAGTGTTGGTTTATTTGTTCGGAATACCAAAGTATTTTGTTGTTGTTGTTTTATTGTTGTTTTTATAAAAACAACGTTTGTTTATTAGTGGAGAACGATGGTAATGTTTACCAGAGGGTAAGGCAGGGAATACCTAGGTTACGGAAAGAGCCACCAATCCTCATCAGTTCCCTTGTTTTTTGTCTGGATATTTTCCCCAGAAGTTATTTTAAAAATAACTTCTATTACAAAAAAACTTTTTTTATCCAAGTGACGAGATCATAAGGTGATTGTATTATACTCAATCTGAATTCCAAGGTAGAGATAATGGGGTCTAGTCACGTCTTTCAAGGAAATACAGAAGGAATTGTTTTGTACAGATTCAATTGAATTTGAATGAATAATATAGCAAATTCTGCAAATTCCTTGCACCATCGCTTAATAAATCCTAAAGTTGTAAAGGCCTTAACTATTCGATCATTAAGATAATAGCTTGTGTCTATTCTTTGTGAGCTAAAGAACGACATACATTTCAGAACATTCAATAATAAAATATTTGTAAATGACCGATTAAAAGTTGTTCTTCTACGTTTTTTAATAAAATGCAGACTTTACTATGCCAAACAGCCAAAGGAATGAGATTTTTCATACGTGGAATCCTATATTCCAATCTCAAAGTACGCAACATCAATCGAATATCACCGTGTACACATTTGAGGTGAGTATATTCGGTCAATCTGAGAACCAAAGAACTAAGATGGGGGAGAATGATAGGGAATCGGTCAGAATGGAAAAGCGTGGATAAATGTCCCAATCTACCATTCATCCGCATGACGCCACTATCATCCACGAAAGCATTAAGGGGAAGTATGAAACTCTTATCATCTAACGGTATTTTGTCCAACAAATTCTTGTACTCGTTACAGAAATGCATCTTTTGAGCAATAATTACTAGCCGAGTGCGATCGTCAGTTATTTTTGATGACGAAATTACCTTGCAAGGATAAGAAAAGTGGTTTCTATACCAATGTCTAGAAACGCTTTATGCAAACACTAAAAGTTAGTTCCAAGGTCGACAAAAAGAACGAAAAATGAGGTCGAACTATTCGCATTTCGTGGTCAGTTTCAAAGGTAACCAAATTATGATTCGACCATACAGATTTATTACCTAACCAATTTGGACCGTGCCATTATAGGCGGGAGGAAGACAATTCTGAGGGAGACTTACCTCGATTTCCTATGTCTGCGGGGTTATCTTCCGATTGAAATGGTACCAGTTGTGATTGCCAACATTTGCAACGAATGTGGTCAATGTTGAAGTTCTTCAGCCAAGCAAGCACTGTAGTGGAATCTATCCAGCAATAAATTTGAAGAAATTCGATATATATTTCCCGAACTATAGCTTTTAAAAGATCTGAAGCTAAAATTGATCCTCAAAGCTCTAAGCGGGGCACTATAGCAAATGGACGAAAATTTTTCCATCTGTGGATTCGACACGCATATGGACTACCCCGGCTTATGCCTTTTCCGAGGCATCGGGAAAGACATGAAATTCTGCAGAAACTCCTAATATGATTCGACGAACCTTTTCCAATCAGCCTCATAGCTGCCAAAAGTGAATCATCCCAAACAACATTGTCCAGTCAAACCTTCTGCATTGTAATTTTCGCTGTCACAATGACTGGGGCCAACCAACCAACGGGGTCAAACAATTTCGCAATAGCCGAAAGAACTTCTTGTATCTGGAATTATTACCAATGGGGTTAACTGCAAAGTAGAAACAATCTAACCGCGTATTCCATCTAATACCCAAATCTTTAGAACTGCTAGCTTCCACAGCAATCGAGCGTCAACCAAATGCTCAGAAGGGAAACGATATAAAATAGCTCTATTAATGGCAGTTCATATTCTAAGCTCGAACTTTGTCGACGAAAGGTCCCATACTGTCCTCATGTGATCAAGTTCTAAGTATTCTGATAATACTTGATCGTAAACTATTTTTACATCGGACCTCTTCATCAACGATTTTTTGTTATGATAAATTTGTTTCAGAACATTTGAGCGAGATTCTCCAAAATACCCAGTAGCGCCAATCTCACCTTTTACTGGTAGCGTAGCAATATA